CACCATGGTTGACTAAGACCAAAGCTTACCAGCACACTCGTGTATGGTTCACCTTGATGGAAGGATGGACATTAAGTAAAATGGAAATTCTGTTAGCATTAAAAAAATGTATGACTGTATGTCAGGCAAATAAGCAACAATGTCCACTGCTCCATATGAAGAGATGAAAGCAGAAGATGGCAAACATTTTGTGAAAGACATGGATAAACATTTTCCACTTTGCAGACCAAAACTTGTGTTACAACCACCCAATTCTGCCTTGTCATGCGAAATGTGCCACAGAGAACACAGTATAAACAAACATTTAGTCTCTGGATCTGTAGTCAGTCAACTTCTGGATTAAAGGTTGAAAACCAGATGGCTTGGAGCTAGTGCTCTGGGCCCTACCACCTTCTGTCCCGGCAGCAGTTGAGATTGTAATATTAACCGAACACCAGTGGTCCTCGGCATTCAAAACTTCACCCTCACAAGCATCTCCTGACCACAGACACTGACGACACTTCTGGATTGATTGGAAACCGGGCCCTGACCATTGTGGCTCAATTGGTTGGGTACTGTGGCTTGGTACATCCCTGGGTTCGGGATTCAGTCCCCAGATGGGATGCTAGAAGAGGCTCTCTCTCTCACATCCATGTTTCTCTCCCTGTCTCTCCATCCCTTTTCCTCTCTCTAAAAATAAATAAGTAAAATCGTAAAAAAAGAAAAGAAACTGGGCCAGACACCATGTGATGAGCAGCCATGCTGGCCCCAACATCATTGAGCGATGTATTAAATCTTCAACTTAAACCTGATATTGCAATCATCCTAATTGACACCCGTACCTCATACAAGCAGGGTGACCCGCAGAACCCAACACTCTGAAGGGCCAAGGGCATTATTGTAATGGGGGACACATGCCCCCCCCTAGAAATGGAGGAAGGGTTTGAGCTGGGCATGAATGACTGGTGACTTTGCCCCTTGCTAAACATGGCAGCCAGAAGAGAGGCAAAGGCAAATACGGCTGATACTGGCCCTCACTGGTTGGAAAGCTGGACACTTCTACCGGCTTTCATCATGCATAGGATTCTGGGAGGGACTTTTGAAACGGGGTGTGCATGGAAGTGTGGTCAGTTGATTCTTTCCCCTCCACTGGCACAGGCTGTGCCGACAGTGGCTAGTGTGGGCCCAGTGAGCAGAGGCCTGGGGGCACAGACGCCAAAATATGTCTAGAGCTACACAGTGACTGGAGACCAGCTAAGCCACTTACGTTTATGATTCTTTCGATTGGGAAAAGGTTCCCTGTGCAACCTTGAACTGAGCGGGCAGAGGGTGACAGGGTGATTTTTCTCTTGAGTGTCTCAGAGGGAGTGGGGTGTGAGGCAGAAACTTGCCATTATTCCCAAAGACATTGGTGATAATAGCACTATAAACAGATTTTTGTTCTTGCATTATTTTCAGTTCTTGAACCTATGTGGTAGTTGTAATGACAAATATTCAAGTGGATGCTTTTGCTGTCACACTCTGACCTTTCCTTTCCCCTAACTTTTGTTACCGAGATATTTTAGGCAGAAACTTGCCATTAAATAAAAGATTTCTTCCCCCCTGTCTTTGGAGATTGGCCCAGTTGCTAGAGGTAGGACTTCCCCCCTTCTCCCTACTGGTTGGGTTTGATAACATTATCTCTGGACTCTTAACCTGGGCACTGACCCCCAGGACACTTCAGTCACAGACAGACGCCTCCGGTTCCCCTCAAATACCTGAAATCCGATTCCCACAACGTCCCCTTAACTGGCTCCACCTGCGTACTTCTACCCTCCGCCTCCGACTCCGCGACGATTCCGTGCTCCACGCTACACTTCGTCCGTAAGTCACCTTGGGAGAGACACTTCCACTGTGACGTAAAAACTTCCAGAGACAAAACCACACGCTGATCTGACTTGTTCTCCAAACTCACAAGGAGAGTGTAAATGTTTTATTTCCTCAACTCGCTTGCTTCAGCCCTGGTCCTACTGGGTCTACAGTGGGCAAAGAGGATCTCAGACGTTTGAAGAAAAACAGGCAATGATTTCTGGTATTAGATGGCAATGTGTCCGCGCCCGCCTCGCAGTGGCATCATGGGTGGCGCCATGTTGGGACACTTGATTGCCGTACAGAAAACAGAGTCAGTCGTTAGGGTCATCAAGGAGGGCAGGAGAGTGGAAAGCTGCTGAAATTCTCTCCTTTTCTGGCACTTCCACTCTTCGGAAATTGGGTAAAATTCAGAGCTTCACAATGCAAACACAGCATGGGCAAAGTTGCCTTCAGCGGGCTCGGCAGAAAGGTACTACAACCTCAGAGTATTATCTCCACTTCATATATTTACAAACGTTTTCAAACAGACAATTGGGAGTTCAGGTGTCAGTATAGCACTGGGGGAGGTACTCCTAAGAAGATGTAAGATAATACAGTTGATAAATGGACACCCACGGACGGATAGCTCTGACTGGAAAGAGTTGTCGGAAGCGTCTTTTAGGAACAAAAAGAAACTGGTACAGTGTGAGACTGGCCATCACCAACTAGAAGACAAGACCTACTGGGACCAGCGAGCCTAAGGTGTCATTGAGAGTGGAGATTCTGAAAAAGGCCAGTAAAATGAGGCCAGTAAAAGAATCAATGGCAAGGGCACGACCTGAATCCATTCAATTAGAAGTTATATGGTAAGCGTGGTGACATAGGTGAAACCCGGGATTTAAGGCAAATACCAAAATAAAGTGTGCATCAGGCCGTATTTAAAGCAGCATAGTCCTGGACCCCAGCCCCTGACTGGAGTTTCTGGTTTAGGGGGTGTAGGGTGTGACTGGGGATTTGCATTAATCTACATTTCTGAGGCAGAAAACTAGTCATAGACAATCATGAGAAACAGTGCTATGCAGGATTTTGTAAATTATATGTATGTCTGTCGAATCACTATGTTGTGCAACTGAACTAATAATTCTGTGTGTCAACTGTAATGGAAAAATGTTTTAAATTAAAAAAGAAAACGAAACAGCCCTGGGAGGTACTCTGGTTACAAATATTATGAGGGTGACTCCCCTCTGTACCTGTTTTGGTTCAAATTATATCTAGAAAAGCCTAGGTAGGCAGGAGCAGGAATAACCCCCCCGCACCCCGCCACACACACATACAGTTCCATCACAGCCTATACATTACTATAAGTTATTGTCTATGAGTTATAATTACTACCTATTGTGAAGCTTTATTTTTCCCTGTAGGATTCACCACATCCTGAGATTTTATAATCCATTGTACAGCCTTCCTCACTAGAGTGTTAAGGTCCACAAAGTCTGTTTTTATGCCTGTTTTGTTCACGGATGTAAACTAAGTGGGTAATACAGTGCCTGGCACAGTGGTGCCTAAAAATACATTTGAAGGAATGAGTTACCTAGAACCCAGTATTTGAGATTGAATTCTGAAATGGCTGCCACATGGCAAAACAAACTGCCATTTCTATTCTGATGAGCAAGTCACTGTTTATAACTTGGATAGGTGGGAAACCATGGGACAGTTAGGAGATTAAGGGAAACTACTCCAAATAGTGGGAGAGCAAGAGCCCCACTCCCGAGACAGAGAAGGAAAAATGGAGAGAGAGCACATGCCTCAATTCAGCAGGTAAGAGTGGAGCTGGAATCTTTGAAACAGTGGCAGCTCTCAAGGGTGATAGTCCTGTGCGTGCATACAGAGGCTCTTCACGACATCCCTTATGGAGCTCACCTCCCGTCTCCCATATTCTTCGTTCTTAAGAGACTAGGATCCTTGTCATCCCTTTTAGTTTATTTATTCTGAGAATATTTTTTCTGCTCTGCTCAGTTTATATTCAGTTAAGGTCTGTAATTATAGTTTGGGGAAAGTAAAATATTCTTTACAACCGCCTTCCAATGGCTCATTCTTTTCAGTGACAAAATACTCTGATTAGTCATTTTAGCTGATTTGTTCACTTTGCAAGTCAGTATATAATTTGTTTTTATTTTTCTGTGCTAAGAAATATAAAATCATGTCAACCACTGCTTTCAGTGTTAAATTTTTGGGATGATGGAATTATGACAGATTTGTCTTGAGTAGCCATATACTTAGCTATGTTTTGATCACTGTGGTGTCCAGTGAGGTGGCCACTAGTCATATATGGCTACTGAGCACTTGAAATGTGAGTTAATGTACCTAGGCAACTGAGTTTTATTTGTTTTGTAAAAATGTGCAATCCAAAGAGCATAAAAATGACCAAGGAATTTTTCAACTACTTGGAGATAATACATAGGCATTAAAAAAATAACTTACTGAGGTGCTAAAGTCCACTAATAGTCTTTGCCCTCCAAATAATAAGCCCCTTGAACAGAAAATGATCCTAACCCTTTGAACCAATTACTCTATATTTGCTATGGAGTGTGTTTATCTCCCCAAGATTCACTCATCAAAACCTAACCCCAAATGTAATGGTACTAAGAAGTGAGAATTTCAGAGGTGATTAGGTCATGGGGGTGGAATCCTCATGAACTGGGTTGCTGCCCTTACAAAAGACATCCCAGGAAGCTCCCCTGTCCCTTCCTCCATGTGAGGACATAGAGAGATGACTGTTTTCTATGAAAAAGGAGACGGCACTCACCACACCAATCTGTCAGTGCCTTGATCTGGAACACAGAGCTTCTAGAACTGTAAGAAATAAATTTCGTATTTATTTTATAAACCACCCAGACCATGGTATTTTCTTAAAACAACCAGAATGAACTAAGACTATGTCCATTTCATGAGTGTAGATACTGACATCCTCTTACTAGATTTGCTGCTGTGTATGGGTGCCACTTAGAGATAAAGCAACTCAACCTCAGTGCTCTCTCCAGGACACCATGCCTGCCTTCTGTTTTGATCAACATTATAACCTTACCTTTTTGAACAAAACCAGGTATAAGAGGAATATTTGACAAAAACTCGGTATAAATGAATGAACTGACTCAATCTAAGGTTGCTGTGTCTTAAATCCCTCAGCATAATATAAACTTCTAGAGTTTATGGTAGACATCCCCATTTTCAATTGCCCCTTCGCCCTGGCCTGGGAAAACCGAATTGATAAATACAAGAACACATCCCACCATATCAACAGTCCAGATATCAATTATATTTATGTTTTAAAAATTCACTTATTGCCTCCACATAACTTCATTCATTCCTTTAATTGACACAATGGGCCAATTAACATATGTGTCTGGGTTAACACGAGATTATGCCTCTCTATCAGTGCATATATTGAACAGGACGAGATTATCATCACTTTGCAGTCTCAGCATTTATACAGTTTCTCTCAGGATATCTTTTCAACCATAACCTGAACTAGAAATTTTTGATCAAATCTTTGTACATAGAATGTGTCTGAGTTTCTTCCTATTGGTTTCCTGTGACATAAAATAACATGTAATTAACAACTGAAGGCGAGTCCTTACTCACTGCATTCATAAGGTTTCTGTCCTGTGCAAATCCTCCTGAGGGCACACATCTGGCCACAGGCTGGCCCACTATGACTACATTTCTGTGTGCTAGGAGCCCACTGATGTTTAATGCTGTTTGAGGGGCCACAGAAGGCATCTGCGTAGTCACCGTATTAACAAGGTTTTTCTCCTGCAGGAGCACACTGGTCAGTGATGAGCTGGGACTTTCTATGAGAGGATTTTCCACCGTGGCTGAATCACCACGTTTCTCTCTTGCATGTATTCTTTTATGTTTCACAAGGCAAGACATGTAGGCAAAGGCTTTCCCACACTCGTTGCAGGTATAGGGTCTCTCCCCTGTATGAGTTCTTTGATGGACAATGAGCTTCTGCTTAGTGGTGAAGGCTTTTCCACAGTCACTGCATTCAAAAGGTTTCTCTCCAGTGTGAATTCTCTGATGTTTAATGAGACCTGACTTCTGGGAACAGGATTTTCCACACTCACTGCACACAAAGGGTGTCTTTCCTGTGTGAAATCTCTGATGTGCTATAAGGCATGTCTTCTGGATGAAGCCTTTTCCACATTCATTGCATATGTAAGGTTTCTCACCTGTGTGAATTCGCTGATGTACAATGAGATTGCCCTTTTGGATGAAGCCTTTCCCACAGTCACTGCATATGAAGGGTTTCTCTCCTGTGTGTGTTTTCTGATGTATATTAAGCCGTGATTTCTTGAGAAAGGCTTTGCCACATTCAGAGCATTTATAAGGTTTCTCTCCTGTGTGTGTTCTCTGGTGTTCAGTGAGCATGAACTTTCTGGAGAAGGCTTTCCCACACAGGCTACACTGATGGGGCTTCTCACCTGTATGAATGATCTGATGATCAGTGAGCCAAGACTTCTTCATGAAGGCTTTTCCACATTCACCACATATGTGAGGCTTCTCTTTTTTCTGAGGTTTCTGATGCTTGATGAGTTGAGACTCAGTGCTGGTGACTTTTTGGTTTTTGGGAAATTTCATTTCAGCCTGAAAATGTTCACTGTTATTGTGAAGAATGGATTTCCCGCCTCCAGAAAGCTTAGTGGGAGTCTTAATTTCATAGCTTCTGGTCTGATTAAGTAAAGATAGATTTGATTTTATACTTTCTCCATGTGAGATAAACATACGGTTTTGAAGTAACAGAGAACAGGTTCTCCTCTGAGGGACAGTATTTTCAAAAGTGTTACATTTGTGCCATTGTTCTAGGATATTCTCCATGGTTTCATTTTGTAAGTGCTCCAACAGATGATCATCAAGTCTCCAGATTTCTAAGAGAGAAAACTACAATGAATTCATCCAGCTTCTTGAATGGAAAGAAAGATTAAAAAAACAAAACAAAAAACTGTGATGTGTCGTTTTTGTGATGACCTTGTGATGTAAGTATAAACAAAACTCTACGTTCAATGTTCCTTGAACATTGGAAAACACAATACTATAAACAAATCGAAGGTAAGAGTTGAGTGTAAAAACAGGTTACATAATTCACAATGGCAAAATACAGATTTGTCTGTATTGGCAAGGCTTTGTAAGGCCTTGCCATAGGTGCAGACTGTAAAATATAAGCAATTTTTGGTGTCAGCAGACACAGGTAGAAGAGCCACCTCCTCCACATTGGACTCACTTCTTCCACATACCTCACTTTTGACTACTGTATACCAACACAACCCTAGGTTGGGGACACACAAACAGTCCTCATGTTTATGGGGCCTACACTGCACTTTGGTGAAGCCATTTAAGGGGCAAAGACACATGCTGGAAACAGCTGCTGGTTGTGAACATAGGTGGAAAGGCAAAGTGGAGATGGAGAGAGGTGGAGGAAATCAGGCTACATTTGGAAAGAAGCTAGGACTCACAGTGGACTCATTACTGTGATGGGCATGGCGGGAGTAAGATGATGACAGAGCAGAGAACTCCTGGCACCTCTGATTAACAACCTCCAAAACAGAACCTTTGATTTACCAACCCAAAGTCCTCCACATGTCATCTCCATCACCGTAAATGAAAAGTCTACTCTTCTCTTTAACCAGAAAGAAATTTCTCAGCATCACCCTTCATGTTTCTCTCACTCACATACAGCATGTACCTTCATAATAAATCCTGCCAGCCCTCCTTTAGGAACATGCCCAGAATGGGACTAACACCCCTTCCAGAGCCAGTGACTCTTGTTTTATTGCATAGCCTCCTGCCTGGTTTTCCTGTTCCTCCCTTGCCAGCAACTGTGTTTTCTATGCAGCAGCCCAAATGATCCTTTCCACATTAATTATATCACAATAGTCCTCTACTCAGAAGTCCCTAGAGGGTTATCATCTCACGAGGAATAAAACAAGGTTTTGAAATGCCCCTGTATGGGACTCCTGGCTGCTATTCCGCTGACCTTACCTTCAGTCCTGTTCTCTCTGGTCTTTCCGAGCAGGCTTCCTAAGGTTCTTCAGACACACTCCTGCCACTAGCCTCTGGCCTTTACTTTGGGACACACCTTACCCGGGGAGCTTACCCACATCCCTCATCTACCTGCTCTACTGCACCTTAATGAACATGTCTTATTCCTAAAACCACTGCCAAGGCCAAACACTCATTCAATTATGCCGCTTAATGTTCCTTAAAGTAATTCTCATCCCAAGGACCTTTGCATCAACCTTCATCCATTTCTTCCTCTCATAGCACATATTGAATTACATGTCAAATCTCATCTGCCTGAAACAAAAAAAGGGAACAAAAATTTCATCGTCCTCTATAATAAGTGTCTCCAGAGTCTGACCGACACTCATCCCTCAATGCGAATGGAAGCCACAGTTCCTTCCTCATCACGTTTTGCAATAGCCTCCTCCATGGGGGTCCTGCCTGAGCCCCACTTGCTGCTGTCTGCTTTCTACAGTCACCGAAGGGATCCTCTGAAAAGGGAAATTACTGTTTTATTACTATTTTTTCCACACAACCTCAAATGTTTATTTTTTTATTGGCATTCATCCCTCCATATCCTCTTCCACCTCTACCCACCCACCTACGCCCTGCAATCACCACACTATTGTCTGTGTCCATGAGTGAAAAGGGAAATTATGTCATGTCATTCCAGCACTCAACAACTCCACATGTTTTCTCTTATCATTAGGAGGAAAACTATGATTCTCTAACATGGATCACAGGATAGACCTTACCCTCCCCTCCTCCTGCTGCTGCTGCCACTTAGAACTCATTTCCAGCATGTTCCCGACAGCCTACTCTGCTCCTTACATATGCGCTCCATTCTGTTTTCCACACACATCCCTGCTGCTTCAACTTGCTGTCCTTTCTACTTGGAATCTCTTAGCCCAACAGCCAAACGTCCTTCATCTCTTGGCTCAAAGGTGTCTTATCAGGGAGTTGTTTGTACTCTTCCTGAGAGGAGCATGGCCCCAACACTCACTGTTCTATTCTGCTGGCTAAATTTTTATCTCAGCACTTTTATCCACCTAGATATATTATTTATTTGTGTGTTTTGATTCATTTTTTGACTCCTCTTAGGATGAAAGCTCTTGATTTATTTGTATGCTTTCATTGTTCTTATCCCCCACCCCAACACACACAAGGTTATCAAAAAATAACGTATAGATGATGAATCAAGGAAGCAATAACATGTATGGTACACATCTGACAGCATTTTGAAGATCAGATAGAAATCTATCTCTTTGTAAACAGGACATTATATCATGCAGATCACAGTAAGAAAAATTTTAATGTTATGTGATGAATAATGGCATTAACTGGGACTTAATGTCCTCAGAATATGATGGAAAGGAATATAAAAGTTTTAGGGAAGTGAATACTACAGTGGTAACATCTATAGTAAACAAGAACAAAGTTTAAAATTAGTATATACACATAGGAGTTAATTTGAAGTAAGCAAGAGTTATGGTCTGGTATAGGCTGGAACTGAGAAGGTACATAGTTAAAATGAATCTCCTAGTTGAAACACATCATGAACAGAAGACTCCTTTAAAGAAGAGAGTTCCGTGGGCAGGAACAACTGAGGTGATGCTGGCCAGGATGGCAGATGCACAGGAATGAAGGTGAACCTGAACTCACAGGGCTTTTCTGGGAGGGACGATGACTTTAGGTCCTTGCAGTCATTAGGAGTTCAGCAACGTTGCCAACAAGATGAGAAAATTCTACATAATAGAGTCTGTGGTGGATCACAGTGGGGAGATCGAATTTTGGGGGGCTCATGTAGGGAACAAAAGAAGCTTAGCTGCTTAGAATGAAGAAAACTTTGGAGGGCTGGTGAGTCACATGAGGAAGTGGAAAACAAAAGAGCTGAAGAACCTCAGAGTGAAGAAAAAGTGAAGCAATGAGAAAAAGGAAAGCAAAGGCACAGTGAAGACCACTGTACTTTGGGGGCGCAGCATCCAGGAAGGGGTGGATGTGAGGAAGGAAAATCCACATTACCAGGGCAGAAAGGAGCAGCGGTCAGAAGACAGTGAGCACAGTCTTCTCTCTGGAGAAAGACCTCAGACAGTGGACCGTTATAGCAGGAGAGGTCTAAGAAGACTGTGAAGAAAGGAAAGATTTGAGAATCCTAAAAAGCAGAACCATATGCACAAAAAATCAAGGTGCAGATAAAATAGTGTCACATCCCAGAAGAAATAAAGGAATCTGTAACTCCTACAAAGAAAAAGTGGGCTCTCTCTCACTGGGAGAGACATGGACAGAGGCGCTGCTTACCTATCCTCAAACCCCCTTCGCTTCTGAGCCTCTTTTCTGAATGACTAGAATGTGATTTCCACAGCCCACCCCGTGCTGGTTCTCTAACTCACCTGAACGGGTTCCACAGGGGATTTCACCTTCCTTTGTCCATGGTGCTTCCCCGTGATCCAACTTGGAGAGTACGCCCGCATTGCTGGATTCATAACCTGTTCATGGGGAATGATAGAAGACAGGCTAACTGAAAAGGACGTGGGGTCTGCGAAGAGAGCAGAATGTGCTATTTAAAGACAAAACAATTTTTGCATTTGCAGAACAAAGGCTTTTCTCTCAGGAGAAGGGAGAACATACCAATCTGGGGCCAGAGAGGGAACTAAGACTCATCTACCACCTCAGAAAACCAGACTTGCGAGAGCTTTCAGAAGCTGAGGATGGAAAGGCCACTGACTGGGGACCAACTGAGTGACACCAGGGAGCCGTCCTCACCCACTGACACCAGGTTGCTGTAGTTCTCCAACATCACGTCCCTGTACAGGTCCTTCTGATCCGGGTCCAGGAGCTGCCATTCTTCCCAGGTGAAGTCCACAGCCACATCATGAAATGTCAGAGATTCCCGTAACAGCACTGTGCTGTTTAATGTCCCGATGTGCTTTAGATAATATGAAATATTAGTTTTCCTGCTCATTTTCACTTTATAGGCTGCATCTATATAGCAAGTAGGTTTTATTTTAAGATACAGTTGAATAATTACATGTCTAGTAAAATGCATGGTGGGTCAAAAGTAGGTATACAGTTGTTCATATGGAAAACAGTACAATAATATGCCCTGGGTGGTGTGGGTCAGTGGACTGAGTGCCGGCCTGCAAACCAAAGGGTCACAGGTTCAATTCCCAGTCAGGGCACATGCCTGTGTTGCAGGCCAGGTCCCCAGTAGGGGGCGTGAGAGAGGCAAGCACACATTGGTGTTTCTCTCCCTCTTTCTCCTTCCCTTTCCCTCTCTTTAAAATAAGTAAACCAAACCTAAAAAAGAGAGAGAGAGAGAGAGAGAGAAAGAAAATAATACAATGACAAACAACAAAGAATAAAATCTGTTTTGCATCCTCACAATTGTAAACTTAATTTTGCCCCACCCTGTATTTTGTAAATGTGCATTCAGCCATCTGTACATTCATACAATTAGAAGCTTCTATAATATAAAGTAAAATGTTATTAATCTAGAAACACCATA